CCATTCCTTCTCCTCATTCCTTCCTTCACCTAGCAGACACCGGCATTCAAACCTGGAGGTTGTATGCCCCCTTTGCCCTCACCCCTCCGGTGGTCCCTAGCCCATTGTATCTGAAGTGACTGAAGTGTTCCCCGTCAGGAATGAACCTATAGCAGTGGCTGATTCGGCCGAACCCCTCAACAGGTGTGTTGTTTACACAAGCCTCTGAGGAGAAAATCAGCCTGGAAAGAAGTCAGGAATCGAAAGTCCTTCAAATTTCTTGATTCTGAACAGGTTTCAGCTGTTGGCTAGCCTTTCCCATCGATGTTTAGAGCTGTGTGCTAGCCTTTCCCACGGATGCTTAAAGCTATTTGTGGCCGGGCGTGGTGGCTCACACCTGTAATCCCAGCACTTTGGGAGGCTGACGCAGGCGGATCACCTGAGGTCGGGAGTTCAAGACCAACCTGACCAACATGGGGAAACCCCGTCTCTACTAAAAATACAAAATTAACCAGGTGTGGTGGCACATGCCTGTAATCCCAGCTACTCAGGAGGCTGAGGCAGGAGAATCGCTTGAACCCAGGAGGCAGAGGTGGTGGTGAGCTGAGATCAGGCCATTGCACTCCAGCCTGGGCAACAAGAGGGAAAGATGGTCTCAAAAAATAAAATAAAATAAAATAAAGCTATTTGCCAGCCTTCCCCAAGGACGTTTAAGGGACCAGATTGAACAGCATCTACGCTATTCCCAAGTCCTTTCTATAAAGTTGTGGGTGGAAGGTAAGCTCTTAGTGCACATTCAACTTCCTTCTGTCCCAGGTTCCTGAGCAACTCAAGGGACACTAGAGTGGAACTGACCGCCACACACATCAAGAGAAAAGGGATGGGCTTCCAGATCTAATTTGCAAAACTCAGAAGGGCTTTTTGCAGTATCTGGGTAAAGTAGCAGCTGTCACCGTGTCCTCCCTCCTGCCCCTGCCCCTTGTTTCCCACTCCCCCTCCACTCCCAGTTCCTTTGGGTCCTCTGAGATCTCTCTCTATTCTTTTCCTTCAGAGTGATCCCAGAGCCGCTCACCTCCTGCCTGGCCAGATTCCACCTACTCAAATTTTGTAGAATGTGTCGGAGCAGAAACTATTACCCTGATCATCTTTTTGCTCTCTGCGTCTATCTTAGTCTGGGAAACCCGCAAAGGAAAAAAAAAAAAATCTAAGTTGTTAAACTAGAGGAACTGTTTCCTAGGGAATTTTCTTCTCGTAGCCAACTGTATTCCATTACCAAGATTTCTCTCCTCTTCTATCCCACCCCTCCCAAGGCCCCGCTCTCCCCAGACTATTTAAATCCGGAGGCCCGAGCACTCTGCGCTCCTGGCGCCTCACTTACCCTAGCGCCCAGGCGTTGGCCGTGAACTTGGTGCCGCTTCCCGCGCGCAAGAGGGCAGCAGGCGAGCTCCTCAGTGCTGGGGGCGCCCTCGGACAGCTATCCCGCTCTCCCGCTCCGAGCAGTTGTTATAAAGGCGGCCCTCGCCGGAGGGAGGGAAGGAGCGAGGGGTGAGCAGAGGGACAAGGGGCGGGGGAGGGTCCAGGCAGAGGACACGCCTATTCCAGTTTCACGGCACTTCATGCTGTTATGAAAATAAAGTCCTGGTGCCAAGGAATGACCCAAAAGCCGTCTGACGTCAGAGGCACAGTCACCCCTGGAAGCGGGGCGGGGGTGACCACCCGGCCCTACCCAGCGCATCGGGCTCCTCCGAGACGTGCTCATGCGCCGGTCCCAGGGCGCCGGCTACGACAGGAGAGCCGGAGCAGACCAGATCCGTACGGGCCCCTCCAGCTGTCACCTCCCGGAGGAGCCACACCCGCCTCCCCGCAGGCACTCGGGTCCACCTGGGGCAGGAGCCCAGCCTGCGAGATTGCAGCAGCTCCGCCGTGAAGTCCAGCGGGACAAGCCAGCCTTCCTCCACTTTCTTTGGCCCTTAACTTAGCCTTTCTCTCCATCACTCTCCCCTAGCCACTGCCCTGTGGGAAGCCAGGCTTAAGAAAAAGGAGGCAGCCACTTTCTCAGGGCTCCCCAGCCAAAGCCACGTGAAAGCCAAGGAAAACTTCCCCATCAGATCCGCAGTTAGCCCAGCAGCTCCACCTGTCACAGTCTAGACAGGCACCACGAGTGCTGCTCTGGGGCTGAGAGATATGTATCTCTCCTTTTCTAACTGCCTCTCCTAAAGCGTCGACACTGCAGGCTGATGGAACGCGGCGCCAGATGAAATTATGAAGTGAAGAAATTTGCTTTGGCGCCCGGTTTCCCCTCCCTCCACTGCCCACTCCTCTTCCAGGATCAAGCCAATCGGACCGAAACTTGGCTTTGTTTACGTGTCAAACAATCCTGGAGTGGCTGCCCGCCTGTGTCAGGGCTCAGGCCAGGTTCTACCCCATGCCTCGCGCGAGGTAGGAGGGACTCTGCTTTTAAGGTGGTTATCAGCGGGCTTGGCAAACTAATCCGGATTATTCTGCATATGAATAAACGGGGGAAGACCCAGGACTCTCCAGCTTTCTCCCCATTTCTCCCCACACCCCAAGTCTCCAGAGGCTAAAGTGCTTTTAAAATGTGACCTACTGGAGACTGTGACCCCACCGTTGCTGGGTTTTTATTTCACTCCCAAAAAAACACAGGCAGTGCCTTGAGTGTTGGAACACCTCCTCTGAGGTGCGCAGCCCAGGGGTCTGCGAGTCCACCCCTTTCACACCCAGGGCTCCCAGGGGTGTGTCTGGCAGAGTTGGGGTGGGCACTGAGAGATTGGTGGGACTGCAAATGACAGTGTTTTATAGCGTGTGCCATCCACTAAGTCAGGGCTTCTGTCTGGACCCCGGGGTTCTCATCTGTTCAAGGAGGAAGTCGAACTAGACTACCGTTGTACAATGGAACTATAATTCAAGCCACAAACATAAGCCACATTTGTTTTTTATTTTTTTGTGGGTTTTTTTTT